CTTCTGTTCTCCTAGCACTATGAATATTTGCCTTTCACTGCAACTCTGATATCAGTTTTCATTGTCAGAGCTAGAACAAAACCACTCTCTGAAGGGATATGCATGTCAGCAGTATTCCCTGGGCGTGTTGTCACAACTACCAACCTCAGAATTCAACTGACAATGAACAGTTCTGTAATGGAACTGGTAGCATATATTACATAAAATAAAAAAGTCGCAAGAAAAGGGCACTTATGAAGATTCCTCACTTTTAACGGTCACATAATCAAATGCCAAAACGAGATCAGTTCATATAACATAGGGGGTTTTATTACCGAATTAGTAGAAACATTGTATATAATCTGTTTTCATATTAAACTGCTTTTCTGAATTCAAGTTCTGAATTCTAACAATTATCACTCTAATAGCTAAAATTGATACCAACTCGTTCTTTGACTAAATACAGCAGGCTGGATACTTTGCCTATTAAACCGAGCACAAAGAAACAGGGAAAAAAAAAAAAAAAAAAAAAGAAAAACAGTGGAAAGCCACATAGCAAGCCTGTCAAATCAATGTAAAATCAAGGGAATGAAGTTAAACCAACTATCGACAGATGCACTCTAATCCATATGTTGGCACATGCCTTCTCGCTGCACTCACCATACCCTGAAGCAAGGCAACGTCAGCTTTCTGTATACAAAATAACTTTCTACCCTAAATGAGTAGTTGACGCCTGCTGATGAAACAAGTGGGGGTGCTGAGGGCAGGCAGTGTGCTGTATATTGCAGAAAGGCATGTAAAAGGAATGTTCACTGTGTGGCAGCTCTACAAGGTAAGTGAAAGAAAGGGTAAACATACCTTGGAGTCTATGTCCCCACGCAGCTCTTTAGACCTTGGAATATGTTTTTCATAATGTTTTATCCAGAAGAATTTTACTCCCACTCTGTTTGAAACCTGCTTGTGCAGATTTTGCCTGTTCTACTGCTGAAGAAAAGTTCACACTCATAAGGAGAACTGCCTAGAGCTGTCAATCACCATCTTTGCACCACCTGATTTATTTATGTTGCAGACACAGCTAATTCCATTCACAGAAAACGGGAAAATTCTGACTCCCACCAGCAATGTCCTGAACTTCTGAAGTGTCCCAGATCAAAGTTTTAATGGTTGCTACACATCATTACTAAAATATTTCTACTGTGGAGCTTCACTACAATCACGCCTGTGTCACAGTATCACCCCGTGACTGCAGTAAACCTCACTCACATTTACCACCAAGAAAAAATTGTACCGAGCATCCACTTGAGTCTGAAGCCATATTAAGTCCTTAATATTCACACGCAACCTTTGCAGATACCAATTCACGCTAAGCTTCAGTTTATTGAATACAATATTTTTCATGAAACTTTAAAAAATCCTAAACACACGACTATTGTAAGATTGAGATTTAAAAAAAAAGACCAAGTGAATTAAAAAAAAAAAATCTCACTGAGAGAGTAAGTTAGGTACTTAGCTCCCCTAGACCTCTTTGAAATTTCCAGCCTAAATGCACAAGTACAGGATATATTTTTTTAAGTATAAAAAAGAATCTGTTATCCTTCTTCAGTGCAGAATTAACTGGGGTGGTATTGATTCCACTTTCACTTAAGCATTTATTTTACTGATTTTCCTCAGAAATGGAAGATCACTGCAGCAATCCCTAACTATCTTTTTTTTAAAATTATTTCTGTCCCTTCCACTAAATGGATAATCAAATCCCTTGCTTAAAATGGGATACAAACTGAAACATTTTGAGCAGCAGTACTTTGAAAAGGTTTTGGTTTTTTTTTTGGAACTCCAGCCCCAGGTGAGCTCCAGTGATAGATTTATGAAATTCTTCCTGTGCAGGAAGCAACAAGAAAGCCTCCAAGCTTTACAACAAGGTGAAAAAACATACTATAATAACAGATTTGCTGGATTTTGCAAACCATAGAAAATACACACACATGAGAGAGACAGGAACATATTCAGGGGGACTGAGAATTGACTGCAGATTTTAAACCAGCAGGAAAACATTTGCAGAGTGCAAGATTTATTTCTTCTCCCAAACAAATCAATCGTAAGGCATAAATCTTGACAGACCTCCACTATCGCTACCAGCACTTTCTCAATCAATAACTACACTGCCATTACATCCCTAGAAGAAGCGAGCAGATCCTAGACACTGCGACCCAACTGCTGTGACTTTCCAGCCACTCATTGCCGGGACCACCTGCGTGGCGGCTCACCGCTCACATGAGCTGAACCACAATCATCAGTGCCATCCACACAGCACTTGCACTCACACTATTACCCCTGTGCCTCCAGCAGCTGCATTACCAGTAGCCTCCGCTCCCTCAGTCCCCATCAGTAATTACCTCAGCACTCTGCAGCCACACTGTAACCCCTTCCCAGTCCCCAAAGCAGGCTAACAATTCCCTCTGCCCTCAGTCCCTTCCGTTGCACATATTCCCCGCTACCCCCTTCATCACCAGACATCTCAGTGGACGGAGCTGGGCCACCCCTCACAGTGTCCAGAGCCTCCCTGTCCACAGCCATCAGACCCCACTGCTACTGTCGCTCTGTGCCTAAGCCCCTCCATACTGTCCTCTGCCACCTCTGAGCACCCACCACCAAACATACGGCCAAGCCCTGAGGAATCTCCCCTCACCCCGCCACCACCCACGCCCAAGTCCCCCTCAAGGCCCTGGGCACCTGCG